GTCGTGAACCAGATTTGTGCTGCCTACTCATCTACCAACTAATGACTCGTTGAACAAACACCCGTACTAACTTTTCCCAAATTTAACGAATTCCTGAATTGCGAAAAACTGAAGATTGCTAACTGGCGAAACAATTTCTTTACCCCGCCAACTTATGACGAATCTCTTCCAACTGAAGGCCGCTGACTCTTGTTGCAATCTTCCCTCCAACTGAAGGCCGCTGACTCTTATTTCAATATTCCCCAGCACACTTTTGCCCCTCATGCCCCACTCCCTACCAACTGAAGGCAGCAACATGCCCCAACTGAAGGCAGCAACATGCCCCAACTGAAGGCAGCAATGTAGATATTTTGATCACAATTGAGTTGATAGAAGCGCGTGTTCGGTGCGGCTAGCGGACGCCGTTCATTTGTGTGGTAAGCGTAGCTTAGTTCGCTGACAGGGTCGACAATTTGCAATGTAGCTGTAAAAACTTGTTGCTCCGTTGAAAGTTGTTAGCGTGCGAGGACTTAACTCTAACTTTTTTTAGTTTTAATGCAAGACTTGATACTCTATAAGGTGAGATATACTTAATGACATCTCAGCTCAGACTCCTCTTAAGAGTCTGATGGAGCCCTACTTATTAGACGGATCTCGTATATGGAATTCTCAATTGTGCTGAGGTTTACAAGCCGAGCTAGAGCCTGTACGCAAGCAGGATAATAAACTGTAAATGATCCACTGCTTTCATTTTTCCTACCTCCATTGCCTCTTGTCGTATTACACTGGTAAAATTTTACGTTATCTCTGTTCGATTTTTACATTAGAAAATTATTCATTCTGACTAGGGTTAAATGCGGCTTGTATGTGCATGTTAGACGTTATTTGGGGTACTTAGTTAACCCTCTACCGCCTGACATATGAGAAACCGGAGTAACCACAAGCCTACTTCCCAAAAAGAATACGTTCCAGTGAGCGCAAAATGACTTGCACTGATGGTTGCCGCCACGTACAAATTTAAAGTGTTATAATATAATAATGTATAATTCAAGTTGAAAGTTGTGTTCATGGAGTGACATACGGCGGTAGAGGGTCAACAGGTTATGTACGTTTGTTAAAGAAAACGCCCACGGTTACGCTGTAGGCCTCGCTTACAAGCGGTGATCACAAAGTTAACAGCTTGCTGAGAGCTCGAACCCCTGACTCGCTGCTCAGATGTTGATGCTGTCGACCCTTCGAACATTGCGGTGGTCATTGCTTTTTTACATCGCAACTCTTGAGCTCGTACATTCTGTTCGGATAATGAAATAATGGCATACATTCCCCGGTATAATTAAATGTCACATATATTCACATTAATGCTGTTCATAACAATATCGATTTGTCTTTGTGAGAAATTTATTTTGTATACGGTAAAACAGTGAAATCATAGGCCTACTTAATTTTACGATAAATTTTAAATTTCGATTTTTCATCTTCAACATAGTGGTGAAATTCTTATTGTATCAATAAGATCTTAATACGATCAAATGTAAGGTAACTAAAATTCTCCGCACACCCGAAGAAATTGAAATGAATCACTAACTAAAGTAACGAGGATCGTTGCAACTTGATCAGGGTAACTAAATTAAAAGGCTATTGGCACTCAGCAATTTATATACAGATCACCTAACGTGCCAGACGCATATTGAGGTAATTATACATTATAATTATTTGATCACCTTAATCAGGATAAACAAATATAAATGCAACTTATACAGGATATATGAATTAGGCAGTCATGCATCACATGCACCACCGATACTTCGAGTACAATACACGTGGCGACCACGAACACGAGGCTGGGTAACTTAAGTAATGACTTACAGATTTTAAAAATCTGACTATGAGTCACAAGCATGCAAGTCACATATAATATGTATCTGTCACAAGCGCATCATACGCAAACTGGAGACAAGAAGAGGCTTTATGCTGAATAATTGCTCGCTGCAGCCCTACTCCATCATCAAGTTAAACGATCGTTTGATAAATTTATGTCATGTGCTATGCTGAGCTCGGTACTCTTGCGGAGAACTTTATTGTTTTCCTTATTTTGTCGTTTACTTTTTCTACTTCTGATCGTTGGCTCAGTGAGAGATTTTCGGGAAAAGTCAATACTACAATTAAATGAAAGAAAGTTGAACATTAAATAATTATAATTATAAATCCATACGAGTTTGTCTGATTCGAACAATAACCAAGGCCATTCTAGAGCTTCATATAAAATAAACGAGTTCACTATTGCTACTACATATAACTTGAGCATCACGAGCGCTACATAATAGCTGACGTATACTAATGGTGAGGCAAAAAAACTAAGGCACTGACGATGAAAAGAATAGAAAAAGAAACTATAATATTTTTACGAAAGCATTAAAATATTTCGACAAAAATGTTGGATAAATACGACAGAAGCGGAGGGAAAGGACGTAAAGAGACGTTTGAAAATATTATGAGTCTATTATAGAGGGGGGGGGACAATGACAAAAGTGGTGGAGGACAACGACAAAAGTGGTGGGGGACAACGAAAAAAGTGGTGTGGAGAAGGCCGTTACGTGATGGTATGAAAAGATAACCTTCACTGTGCACGAGAGAAGTATTCGCCTCAGTTACTAAATAATTAGAGATTGAATCGTCTTGAGATCTGAGCAGTCGCATTGGTATAACTACTATTTTTTAGCTAGTAAAAAAACAATCTACTGAACAATTTGAGTTAAAGTTGAAGTTAAACTTTACTCTAATAGAGGATAAGCTACGTTTAAGAAAATTTAAGTGCCAATAAAGATCATTGATAGATAATTAATACATTCACATCAATAAATTAATATTAAAATAGTTATCAACATCCAGTGCTTGGCTAATTCAAAATTTAAGCATCAGTAGAGCGTAGAAGAGACTCAAGAAAGCAAGCGGCAAATACTCAACAACATTACTAATATTTTGAATTAATTTCGATCCCCATAATGAACTGACAACGACAAAAGTGGTGGCGACAACGACAAAAGTGGTGGGGGACAACGACAAAAGTGGTGGCGACAACGATAAAAGTGGTGGGGGACAACGAAAAAAGTGGTGGGGAAAAAGGCGTTCTGTGATGATAGTTAGTTAGTTAGTTTAGTGGCCAAATGTTTACTAGCGCTTCAGCTACCTAGCTATCTCGCACCGAAAGTCATGATGAACATCACCAAAGAGGTGGAAGGTCTCAATTATCAAAAGTTGCTCAAATCAAAAATTGTTCACCCACAAGGGGCGGAAGGTCTCAATTGTCCAGCCCGCTGAAGCTGGCTCGAAAGAAGCAGCGTTAGCATCTCAAAGAGACGAAGTGACAAGGAGGGACCTGTCTCTTATACACATCTAGATGTGTATAAGAGACAGCCTCATTAGTGTNCAACACTTGACCGGACCGAAAGATCTTGATCAACACTTGACCAGAGCGAAAGATCTTGATCGACATTTGACCGGACCGAAAGATCTTGACCAAAATTTGATCAGAGCGAAAGATCTTGATCAACACTTGACTACCTATGTATCTTGATCACTACGTCACTATATAAAGAAATACAATAATAAGCCCTTATAAATTAACAAGCCCTCACTAATCTATACATTGAATGATTCATAAGTCGAAATAATTCCTATTCATATCCCCAGGCTCGCGTGAATTACGAGTGTCAAGACGAGCGGTACAAACTTGAGCCAATGTACACAACCATGAACAAATATACTTATAAACTATACACTAGACAACTACCATTGTAAAAAATAATGCATCAATACATTGTTCATAGACGGAAAAATAAAGAAAATAACGCGTCAAGTTCAAACTTTTGATGCGGTCTAAAACTTCGGACTTGGAAGGAAAAGGGAAAAGTTTGATGCAGTCTACAACTTTGAACTTGGAGGGAAAGGAGGTGCTGGCCGAAAATTTTAAGGTAAATATTTTAGTTAAAAGTTTCCGTGAATTTTGACTTGAAATTTGGAAAAATTAAATCGAATTCCACAGAAATGAGCGCCCCCAGACGTCCTCGTGATCTGATAGTGCATAGTCTGTAAGGCACCTCGAACTATTAATAGTGACTATATAGTGAATATTGAATAGTGACTATAGCAGAGCAATAACACACAAGCCTCACTATTCCATACAACACACTATTTTTATTACTTTATTTATTGGCATTCCTCGTCACTCTAAATTAAATCGTTGAATTAAAATTAAAAAATTAAATCAATATATAAATCTTTTTAGCGCATTTTCTCATTTATGGAAAAATGCACTATTGTGCTCGCCATGTCCGTCCGTCTGTCCGTCCGTCCGTGACCTCAAGTTTTCGTCGACGAGAAAATGCGCTCTCTGTCACTAAGTACTGAGTTATATTTTTTTAGAAAGAGCTCGAAAGAATTTCTAATTGCAATTCAATGCTTGGGTGGTAACCACGTACACTCAGAAATATATTTGGGATGTTATCCTAATAGTGGCATTTTATGCTCGTTGGTAACGCCCTTATGCCAGGCAAAACCAGGCAAGGATGACCCAAAAAAGGCAGGAAGTGCATAGCAAATCAGACAAAGTCCCCCTCATTTCTCTGTTGGTGCCACAGTCAAGGCCATCGCAAGGGTCCGTACATAACAAAATTCAACGCATTCAAGAAACGAGCCAAGAATTCCATTACAGCAAATTAGATCAAAATGAACGTTAAATAAATTAAATCATATAGATCACGGAACAAGTTATTGTTTTTTTGTAATTTACAGTCATTAATCATTCGCGGGTTATGTTTCTTTAATTTAAAAGCGGCATGGCGGCAAAATATAGCCCGGACGTGAACAAAGTTCGATCAGCGATGAGGGCAACCCTTGTTTTATATTGCTAACTCCTACTCCACTCAGAAGAGAACAACAGAGCAACAAGAACTATATTTTTTTTTTAAATGTGGCAATGTCTTATCTTTTTGGTCTCTCACAAGAATCGCTTTTATTCCCTGAAAAAAAAAACTCTAGTAAAATTTTACCCTTACAAACCTCGGTTATTTGTGGACTAGGGAGTGGAGGTTCACTTCACGCACAACATATCAATTAAATTGAACTAAACAATGTAGTTAAATTAAATAAAGATTCCCGATTGAACTTAACATTAAAATGCTGCAACTTACGCAGCTCTTGCACAAGGAGTTTATTCAAGTCTTCGAGACACCAACGCTACCAGGAGATCAAAACTTCTCAATTGAAATGGCAAAAATTTTTCATTTTCGCGATAGAAAAGCGTTTTTTAAAGAAGAGGATTTCTAGAAAAGGGTGAAGGCAGCGGGTGGGAGGCTGAAGGGTGAAGGCAGCGGGTGGGAGGCTGAAGGGTGAAGGCAGCGGGTGGGAGGCTGAAGGGTGAAGGCAGCGGGTGGGAGGCTTAAGGGTGAAGGGTGAAGGCAGCGGGTGGGAGGCTAAAGGGTGAAGGCAGCGGGTGGGAGGCTAAAGGGTGAAGGCAGCGGGTGGGAGGCTAAAGGGTGGGAGGCTAACTACTCCCAGAGGCTCCCCCGTCAGCCTTGGTGAGGCTGGCCGTGAGGGCGGCCATCTCCTCCTGCTCCTTCCTCCTGAAGAACCCGAGCTGCGCAGAGCAAATATAGGTTATATATTTTACTATATACTTAATAGATTATATGTTGTGCGATGTAGACAATACCGTGAATATGATATAAAAATATTTAAATATTGTTCATGTGAAGAAAATATGTCAGAAGATTGCGGATCGTGCAATATGAACAATTGGTTACAAGTTGTGCGATGAAGACAAAATTGACAACAGGAAAATATTACTGCCATACATTCCAACTTTTGGAGATAGACTGCTTTTTGAACTGTCAGGATATAGAGGGTGTATACGAGGGTATACAGTGTACACTGTACATGATGGTATGAGTGAGGGTACCTTACGAAGGATGTACATGATGGTATGAGTGAGGGTACCTTACGAAGGATGTACATGATGGTATGAGTCCTTCCTCCTGAAGAACCCGAGCTGCGCAGAGCAAATAGCTTATACATTTTATTATATACTCAATAGACTATATATTGTGAAATGTAGACAATATCGTGAATATAAGTAAAAAATATTAAATATTGTTCATGTGAACAAAATATGTCAGTAGAATGTGGATCGTGCAAAATGAATAATTGGTTACAAGTGGTGCGATGAAGACAAAATCGTGAATACGATATAAAAAATGTTAAATATTGTTCATGTGAACAAAATACGCCAGTAGATTGTGGATTGCGTAATAAGAACAATTGGTTACAAGAGGTGCGATGAAGACAAAATTGACAACACGAAAATAAAAATAACTTTTGGAGATGTATATGGGGGATGTATACGAGGGTGTACAGTGTACACTGTACATGATGGTATGAGTGAGGGTACTTTACGAAGGATGTACATGATGGTATGAGTGAGGGTACCTTATAAAGGATGTACATGATGGTATGAGTGAAGGTACCTTATGAAGGATGTACATGATGGTATGAGTGAGGGTACCTTACGAAGGATGTACATGATGGTATGAGGGTACCTTATAAAGGATGTACATGATGGTATGAGTGAGGGTACCTTACGAAGGATGTACATGATGGTATGAGGGTACCTTATAGAGGATGTACATGATGGTATGAGTGAGGGTATCTTATGAAGGATGTACATGATGGTATGAGGGTACCTTATAAAGGATGTACATGATGGTATGAGGGTACCTTATAGAGGGTAAATATGAGGGCAGAGAGCAGCAGCAGCCCCAGCAGCACCGCCAGCAGGTACCACCACCAAGGTATGCCTTCCCCAGGCAGCCACCCCGGGATGAGGGAGGTGTTCGCCCGCCCTGACACGGTCCTGCCCAGCGGGTCAATCGGAACACGTTAGTAACTGCAACATACATGTTTACTAGTCATAATTATAGTAATAATTATTCTGAACCCTTTAACAACTTCAAAATTGGCAAATTCGCCAATTTTGACTGGAAATTCGCCAACTGACGGCGCATGTCAGATAAAAAAGCGCATTTAACTATTCTGTTTAATGTGTGTTTCAATGATGTGTGTTTAATGTGTGTTTTCAAAACTATAGCACCAAACACGGAAATTTCGTGAAAATTTCACCAGAATTCGGTTATATCAGTTTGGGTAAAATGGTGATATTTCATGGTGGTTTTATCTAAAACAGCACATTGTAACACAATACAACACTGTAATGGTGACGTACCGGTGGCCAGTGAAGGTGACAGATGATGACAGGCTTAGCACATTGTAACACAATACATTGTAATGGTGACGTACCGGTGGCCAGTGAAGGTGACAGATGGTGACAGGCTCAACACTGTCGCCGTGGCCTCCGTGGCGAACGTCGTGCCTTCCTGGACGTCGATCAGTGACGCTGCGGGGGGATGGGAGGAGACGTAAGTTACATGATGTTGATTATCATTGTTATCCTGTGAATTATCTTTACTCACATATTATTAATAATATATTATCCATACCAACTTACTGTCATTACTGACAAACGGCCTGATTGCTTTTAATTAAATAAATCCCAGCATAATTTCAATTTGCGTTTAGTTAAATTAGCTGAAATGTTGACTAGCGTCCATGAGGCCACTCACCTAGCGTCATGAGGCCACTCACCTAGCGTCATGAGGCCCACTCACCTAGCATCATGAGGCCACTCACCTAGCGTCATGCGGCCACTCACCTAGCGTCATGAGGCCCACTCACCTAGCGTCATGAGTCCCACTCACCTAGCATCATGAGGCCACTCACCTAGCGTCATGCGGCCACTCACCTAGCGTCATGAGGCCCACTCACCTAGCGTCATGAGTCCCACTCACCTAGCATCATGAGGCCACTCACCTAGCGTCATGAGGCCACTCACCTAGCGTCATGAGGCCACTCACCTAGCGTCATGAGGCCACTCACCTAGCGTCATGAGGCCCACTCACCTAGCGTCATGAG